TGTGCGTGCGTGCGTGTGTGCGTGCGTGTGCGTGCGTGCGTGTGTGCGTGTATATGCGCGTGTTTTTATAGCCATGTAGCGCATCTCCTGCTGTCGTAATAGACGTGTAGCCCATCTGCGGCTCGTACATCCTTGATTTCTGTTACATTATCACACAAGGCGTCGATCGCTGCATGTGTCCCCGCACGTGCGCAGACATGGATACACACTTACTATCACCTCGGTCCACCTGGACACACCTGCTTTAAGAATGTCGGCATGCGCGCCTTTGATCTGCCAATAAATGCTTTGTGCAAGCACTTAAAAACACTACGCAAACGCAGCGCTCTGCTAAGTTCGCTTTAATACGGTAGAATGTTGAGTGGCCGGCCAGTGGCAGCAGTAGTGTGCGGTCACATAGACACTCGAGATGTGAGTTTACGCGCACAGCTAAGCCGGCCGCTTCGAGCAGTTTACACCTAATTGATCAGCAATACGGGGCGGCAGTAGCGGCAGCCTGGGCCGCCGTCTCCCCGCGTGTAGCGTGTAGCGTGTGTGCGTTCACGCCTGCACGGCGGCACAGCCACGGCAGTAGCGGGCGTCTGCTCGGGCGTGTCCCTCTCGCTCCGCCCGTCTCCCTGCACTTGTTTAGCCGGTCGTTAAGAGTCGGCTGCGATTGTGCGCGGCCAGCCGACCCGACGAATCGGGAAGGTATATTAAAATCAGTCCGTCGGTGTACGAACCTCTATATACGGCAGAGGGGGAAAGGTATATTAAAATCAGTCCGTCGATGTACGGATTTCTATGTACGACAGAGGGGGAAAGGTATATTAAAATCAGTCCGTCGGTGTACGGACTTCTATGCACGACAGAGGGGGAAAGGTATATTAAAATCAGTCCGTCAATGTACGGACTTCTATGTACGACAGAAGGGAAGGTATATTAAAATCAGTCCGTCGGTGTACGGACTTCTATGTACCGCAGAGAGGGGAAGGTATATTAAAATCAGTCCGTCGGTGTACGGACTTCTATGTATGACAGAAGGGAAGGTATATTAAAATCAGTCCGTCGAATATATATATATATATATATATTCGCGGTGGTATAAGGCTGCAGCAGTAGTAACAGTATAGCTTTCGAGCACGTTCGCGGACGCGTTACTCACACAAGCTATGCACGTCATTTTGCTGCTGGATGCGCTATTAGCGGCTGCGTTTACTCGGCGCTAGTGTTAGCAAAGATGCCTCGTAACACTCAGGTAATGCTCAATTAATAAACAGTAAACAAGATCGCTTACAAAGTGGCCGGCTAGAACTGAGCTCCCACTGTTTATTACCCCCGTACCGAGTCACAATCCTATTACGACGATCTGGATCCAATTTGTCGGCGCCGTGTGTAGTGATTGTTCGGCGATGATGCGATTACCGATTGAGAATTAGGCCCGTTAGCCGTCTTTTCCTGCCGATTTTCCGACAAAGCAGCGGACGGAATCGCAAAACAGAGTGCGAGCCGAGGGACCAGTCCGTGACGAGCTGGTCTGTACGAGGGTATCGCGGGGGCCGCTGACGGCAAAGCGGCGGTGGAAGGAGAAAGGAATATAAGAAGAAAACTAGAGGAGAACCCGAGCGTGTGAGATGATCGAGTCATGCGTGGTTACAGTCAAGCGTGTACTGTTTCACTCTGTGATCACCGCAAAATGCAATAGCAACACTCTCCCGTGATCTTTGCCGCCTTTTGTTTTTACTTTCTATTAAATTTATATTATTATTAATATCGAGTGATGGCGTCGCGTTCTTATACTATAAGACCGCAGGAGCTCGGGGCAATTTACTATCCTTGTCACGTGCGATGCGTTATGTAAAAGATCATATAAACCGATATTACCGACTATCTTTGAAAAATGCTTAGATAATAACTTGTAGAAGAGAGAGGAATAGTAACGAGGGAGCTAATTAACTTAGTTTTCCCAGAGCGACGCAGCATCACGATGAAAGGATGCGGGCGCCCGACTACACGCGACTGAAATTTGCCTTCCAGTTTATCTTGGATGTTCGTATTTTGTCGAAATATTCTGTGATATTCAAAGGAGGTTCACTAGTCGTCAAAGGACAACAAAAATTTGTGTGTGTATTATTTAGGCCTATTGTGGACGTCTATGGACTTATTATAGTGATAGGTAATATGAAATATAATATATAGTACATGTAGTAAATATTCTAGCTTTGCTTAAACGTTATGCGTTGCGTACACCCGAGTAACAGTATATATAGATTAAATCAATTAATTAAATCATTTCATTAAATCGATAACATCAATTAAGTAAATCAATTAATTAAATCTATGACATCAATTAATTAAATTGACTACAAATCTCCGAAAGCAATACCGAAATTTACGTTGTAGTCTCCACCCCACCAACTCCCGATTTTTCCCCCGAAACTATATACCCCCCTGCGGGTAAGTCAGGGGAGGGTGTATTTTCCAGAGGCGGCAGGCGAGTGTAGGGGGGGGGGCGACGTCGCTCGTACTGGCTCTCAAGCGGCGGCTGTAACATAATAGGATTCGCGCACTCGACGCAAGGCTAGCCACTGTGTTCCACAGGGATCGTGCCTCTGTGTGGTGTGTGTGAACGCGCGGGGGTGGGGGGTTCTGCCGCCCCGCGTG